GCTTCGAAGAGTCTAAGAACGGTTATTTCCTAAATTCTGGAATTATAAGACCCTGGATGGAAGGTGCTCTGATGTGACCAGAACAGAATCTAAGTGTCTTTTGTCCCCCAGATGCTATGAGGCTCTGCGCTCACCATTCTACATTCCAGGGGCCTTTGTTCTACGTTCTAAGAGGCTTTGTCCTCAGCCTTCTAAGACGCTGTGTTCTCAACGTTCTATGATCCTTAGAGTCTGAGCCTGACATTCATTTCCAAGGTTCCCTCCTCCCTCCCGGGGCTCTGCGAGAGGGACTGGCGCCCCCTCAGGCGGCCGGCCGGTGTCAGTACGCTGAGTGTGCGACCCTACAACCTTCAAGATCGCTAGCTCCAATATTTATACCCATTTCTCAGACAGACCTCGACTGCCTAAAAGCTGGGACCCAGAAGATCATGTGAGAACCTTCCTCTTTCACGATCTCACGTGCACCAGCGACCTTCTGGTCATGAGCTGAGAGGCAATAGTAGTGATTGAGAGCAAAAACTACCAGGAGCGAGTCCCAACTCTGCCATTTTCCAGCTGTGTGACTTGCTTAACCTCTCTGTGCCTCAATTTCCTCATCGTATAATGGGGAGCAGAATACTGTCTACCTCATAGAGTTGTTATAAGGATTAAGTGGGATATTTGTCAAGTGCTTAGAGCCACAGAAAGTTCTGATAAACAAGTAAAAAATATTCTAGTGAGTCCAAAGGAGAAAAACGAGTCTGGACTTTAGTAGAGACAAACTTTATTCAATGCCCCTCTTGTTTAAGACGAACCTAGACTGTTCTTAAATGGCCTTAATTTTCCAACGATAGGGAGATGATTGGGATCGATGAGATGGGGATCTGGAAAGCTCGCTCTTGAATAAGATTTTCTTAGTAGTTAGTGTCTGGGATGATGTCAGGATTGGTTTTTCATCCCTGCTGTTCGTGCAAGACCAGATGAACAATTTGCTGCGTAAAATGTTGGATCTGGAGCCGATTTCGGGTTCCGGTCACCAGGCATTTGAAGATGGGTATTCCTAGAAGGATAAATAAAAATGGTTGAATAAAGGGGCAAAACTAAGGTTTGAGGCCATAGGGTTCGAAGGAGGAAGCCAAGAGAGACCCTTGGTTGATGGATTCAGAACAGCGGTAGCAATTCTGAAGGTTTCCTTGTTGGCCTCTCGATGTCCTTACTGATGATGACAACGCCTGAAGAGTTTCTGGGAATGGACGTGCAGCAGTTACTTTGGACCGCAGCCCACAAATCCCTCCCTGGCAGTCCCTGACCTCGGTACAAAAGTTGCCCAAACATGGTTGGAGGCCATATTTGAATCCTTAAAGTTTACTCCAAGCATCTGCCTTTTTGTTCCAAGGTTTTTTTGGGGTTCCTGATGAAAAAGGAGATCACAGTCATCCTGGATCTTGTGTCTGCATGGTGATTTTTCAGCCTCCACAGGATTTGGCCGGTCTCCTACATTTGTGAAGAGTTGGGGGTTTGAGGGGAGACAAAGCGAAATTTGAGGATTGAGAGAATAAAGGGGAGTCGAAACTCTGATAAGGGTTTACAGGATTGGCACGATGACAGAAGCTGGTCCAGCTGGTATGTAGATACTGGTCAGTGAACTCTGTACATGTAGAGAGAGTATGCACCACTGGGGACAATCCAAGACTCCTGGAGATGAACGTCTTATTTATTTGAGTGGTCAGAAAGAGAATGTTAATTAAAGGTGAAAAACCAAGGAGAAGAGGCAGGGCAGGACTGGGACCATGAGACGAGTCACAAGCGGAGGGGTACCGCTGATACCAAGAGAAATTGTCAGCGGCATTCATCGACTTGGGATGGGCAATATGCTGATATCTGGAAAACACGGGTGAGTTCAGGGAGGGGGTGGCTCCTGTCATTAAGGTCGTTAGGGTGTCGTTTCCTGCATAAAAGGGTCAGTGGTTACAGAGTCCTGTGCAAGAGCCATTAGGGAAGTTGAGGAAGAAACACAGAAGCCCTAATTCATAGATGGGGAGGGGTCTCTGAGGGAGGTATGCTGGACAATGCTCAGTCCATCTGCAATGATCTTATTTCCAAATCAGGTCACATTCTGAGGTACTGGGGATGACTTCAACATATCTTTGGGTGGGTGGCAGGGTGGGGTGGGGTGGGGCGGGATAGGGACACAATTCAACCCAGAATAGGCCTAGAAACCACTGGAGTTGCATTTCAGTCTTAGGTAAAAATGAAAATAATGATGGGGTAAATGTGTTCTGTAGATAAGGGTTTACCTTCAGGTGCAAGATCGTGTCCTAAACAGTGTACTTGTGACTGATATAGTTGTAATTTGTCCCTAGATACCTTGTGTCCCTATGAGCAAGGGCTTGGGGGTAGATGCTGTCAGTGAGTGAGCTGTTGGGCTGAGCAGACAAGAAGACCATTCACACATTGGATTAGGGAGGAATTGCAAGAGAAAACCGAATCCTTCAAAATAGCAGTCAGAGTCTGAGAAAAGCAAGCAGGGACTTCAGTGGAACCTTGAGGCATAACCGTCTGTGTGTATTGTTGACTTTCCCAAGTGACAGCAAAAAGAGATTGTGAATCAGGATGTGCAGATAAGTGAAAGAAAGCGGAGGAGATGTTAATACAGTCAGGTGAGTGGAGTTGGAAGGTATAGAAGCTGGGGTGGTGTTAGATTGGGAACTTGTGAGAACCTCGGTTTGACTACTTTATTTATGGCCTAGAGGTCTTGGATTAGCCATATGCCAATGATAACACTGGGGTCCTTGACGAACAACATTGGAGTGTCGCAGGGGCTGGAGGCGGGTATTAGAAGGTCTGAAAGATGGGTTGGAGGCCCCGGAGAGCTTCTGGCGTCAGAGCATGTTAAAGCAGTTTCAGGAGGGGGAGGAAAGGATCTATTTTCACTTTAAGAGGTTCAGCCCCCAAGATGCATCCTATGTCTGTTGAGTTGGAGGCTCAGAGAAAGTCAGGAATGGGAGTCAGCATGGCTCAACTTCGTGGGCCCGAGGAAGAGGCCGATGGGTTATTTGGGGGGTGAGAAAGGCTGGCTGACCAAGATGAATAGGAGCAGTCAGGGGCTGTGAGAGGCTCCCTCGTAAACACGAAATGCTAACATTCCAGATGGAATATCCCCTCTGAAAAGATTTATTGACATAGTTGGAGTAAGAAACTTTGCTGTAAGGGGCCTGACGAGGCAGAGTGGCTTAGACAAGGGGACAGTGCGGCAGGTCATGACCACCTTTGCTGTTACTGCGGGGAGGGGGGACACTGTACTAATGGGGGAGGGGCAGCCCATGTATGGACTTTAAAGAGCCGTAGCATGTCGTTTAATAGAGGCGGTCTTTTCCCTGTGTGGGTCGAGGGGTATTTACAGACACAGAGGAGAAAGTCTGCTGGGAGGGGGTCACTGAGGAGACTGAATCTTCGACTCGAATTCCTTTTTGCATTATAATGCTGCACAGTCTCAAGTCCAGTGTACCTTTTCTTTCAGTAACTACAAATGTCTTTATCAAGATTAGATTTTGTGGTATCGAAGGCCTGAGAGGATGGACTTTTTGTCTCTAATTGTTTAAGTTGTAGGACCTTAAATTGCATTGTGTCGACTTGATTTTATCTACCATGGAATTTCATGATGTTAGGCTAGCTCATGGAATTCTGTAATTAAGGCATTTTTCCAGTTAACATTGGTTTTTGATCATGTCTCTGATTTCTGGTCTCAGGATATGAAAACTAGTGGCCAAGACAGGAGTATGATTGTCAGGGATTGGGCCTGAGGACACTTTCCATCCATTTCCCAGCCTGGGTCTACCTTGGAGGTAGATTTGTCCCTCTGTTGTCTACACCCCTAGATCTTAGACCAAAGAGTTTTACAGGCAGAGGCATTTAGGATGAAGTCTGATACTACCCATCAGTATTAGGTTGGATTACTCCTCAGAAGCATTCTGACTCATTTGAATATCCTCATTGAGACTCATACAGCTTTTGCAAATCAAAGACCTGCAGTTCCAGGACCGACCGGCAGAGGGACTAGTTGCCATGCATTGGGAAGACCTGACTAGGAAGCTCCAGGTAGCAGCCTAAATTGGCTGCTAAGCGCGGCCGTTTTCACAGGAGTCTTTAATTATACTGTGTAAGTCTGAACGTGACCAAGGTGTAAAGAGAACCTTCCCAGGTACATGCTCTCATCGCTGGCCCCCAGCCGTGGGGCCAGAGTCTGGCTGACAATGGGGAGCTGGGGGGCTGGAGGGGGATCAAAGTGGAGAGAGATTCCCTCTGCCTACAGTCTCAGAGCCTGGATGAAGCTTAAGAAGGCAGCGCTGAAGACGCGCCTTCCTTGACACCCAGGCTCCCGCTAGGCTGTCCCAGCGTCCTGGGCTCCCCATCCCAGCCCTGCCCTGCCCACTCTGGGTCATCACCATCCAAGGAGAGGTTTGTCTCCACCCTGGATGGTGAAACTCTCGAGGGCGTCCCCAGCATCACCCAGTGCAGAGTGACAGATGGATGAACCGGTGAACAAATACACTCGGTGTGTAGAGAAGTTATCACATCAATTTAAAATACTAAATATGGTCTATCAGGTTTCTACTATGGATGCTAATTGCATTGCCATTATTAATAGTTGTGATTAGTAACATCCCCAAACAAAAGATGCTTCAAACGAACCATGAGATGACTCGCTTTTCTCTAAATCCTCTAACCCTCGTCATGCTCCCTTCAGCCTCCCTCCCCAGTCACATTCCTTTCTTCTCTCCTCCATTTCCAACTTCTGACCCCTTACTCTTCCCTCGCCTCCTCATGCCGCCTCCGTACCATCCCCCCCTCCTCTCCTGGCTTTCTGCCCCTCTGTATTTCCCACCCCAGTGAGTCCTCCTTCCCAAACACCTCCCCCTCCAGTCGCCTCTTCCCCACCTTTCCCGCCCTCCCCCACTCCATCCCACTTCCTTTTCGGGCCGTCCTCCTTCCAGGTGACCATCAGACTAACGACACAAGAGTGTGGTGTGGCCAGAGACCATGGCCACGTGGTCAGAGACGAGTCCGTTTTAATTGTTGGGTAATGAACTTTGGAAATAACTCCCACCCCCACGCCCATCTCCGCCACGCTCCTCCCCCGGGGTGTGTCTCATCCAGTTTGGTCAGGAAGCCGCCTTCCCTTGAGCAGTTCGACCATCACTGGGATGGTGTGCAGGGCCGCCCGCCGAGGGCGGGAGGACGGCATCACGGGGCAGCCAGGGCGAGGACACAGAGCCTCAGAGGACGCTGATGCGCTCGGCCAGCCCCTGCATCTCGTGGTCCTGCGGTGGGAGCGCCCCACCCAGCTCCCCGTCGGTGGGTAGCCCCGGCCCGGGCAGCGGGTGCTCCGCCACGAACTGCTCCCAGCGCGCGTCGTCGCTCTCGTGCGTGATGTACCGCTCACCCATCTTCCCCTCCAGCTCTCGGAGATCCAGCCACGTCTGGTACTCCTGGGCCCGGGAGAACACAGGTTAGCGGCGAGGGGGGCGGTGCACGGAGGGTAACCAATAGCGACCCCTCAAAATCTGCCCAGCCAATAGAGACGTAGCTCTATCCTCCACAGCCCAGCCAATGGGAGGCTCAACCACTTCCCATAACCGCGGAAAATGCACCTACACCCTTCACTATTTGCGCGACCAATAAAAGGTCTAGTTCCAGCTCCGCCCCCTGCATCACCTGTAACCACGGGTGGCTGAGAGACTTGTCCACGCTGTAGCGCTTGCGCATCTTCACTTGCAGCAGGTTGTTGATGAGGTCAATGGCTAAGTGGAAAGGAGAGAGACAGCTCAAGTCCTGCCACCCCTCTTCCAAAAAGCCTGCTTGCCCGCCTGCCATCCAGGCCTTCCTTCTGCACCGACCCAGGTGGCCCCACCTGCCACAATCACTCACCCGGCCATTTCCTCATTGAATTACAAATTTGTTTTCCCACACACACGTGGCATGCACACTCACTCCTACATCTCAAGTCTATACCTCAGTTTCCCCATTCCTATGTCACCTTCGTAAGTTTTGTCATACACCCATATTAAAATATTGGTACGTATAGGTACACATGTACTATTCTCACTTAATATTTTTCCTTAAACCAACTTATTTGTCCAGGATATAATGTGAAGTGGACAATGCAAATTGAAAAACAGCATGTATAGTATGCTACATAAAGGGTAAATAAGAGGATATATGTCCACATATTTGCCTGCATATATATAAAAGACTCGTAATAGCCACTGCCTTCGGTGAATGGCAGATAAAGGAGAGAGAATTTTCACTATAGGTTCTTTCGTATATTTAAAAATTTGAACCATGTATTTAACTTAAGTGAAAATTGATAAAATTGCTTTAAATTAAGTCACTTTTTTTTCAATTCACTTTCTAAGGTGAAAATGAATTTATATAAAATGGAACTTTTACATCATCCTGGTCAATAGGAATCCAAAGATCACTTGTCAGGTCCACAATAAGAAAACGAAAATAAGCGATGTTAGTGGACGGTAATTAGTCACTGGTTTCCTGCAGAAGGCCCAGAGACAAGGCTTATCTCTTTATGAAAAGGAGGATTAGTGAGTGTCAGGCATTCAAGACAAACCAGCACTTGTCTGAGAGTCTTTGATCAGAAGCCTTAAAGGACAAGGGCCTCACTGTGCGGACCCCCTCTGAGTGTAGGCCTTGTCTACACATGACCTCTGCTCTGGACAACACCCACAGGCCCCCTCACCCACATCCACCCACACTCAGATTCACTCACGCACGCTTGATGAATTTTACTGAGCGCCTTCTGAGTAGGTCCGGAAAGACAACCCGGAGGACCCCTGTATTATCCAGGACTCAAGTCAACCCACGTGCCTATTTCTTAGTGCTTACCTCTCTTAGGACCACCGCCAACTCTCTTCCTGCACCGAGTACCTTTCGAGTCACGACCCCCGCGAACCTGCTTCATGAAGCCACACCCCGCTAGGGCTCTTTCCCCTCCCACAGTTCACAGACCACCCGACGATCTTCTCCCCACACGATCCCTTTGCTCCAACTCATCTCAGTATTCCCAGAACCTCGGACAATCCTTACCAGGCACACAGTTGGCACTCGACATGTTCTTGTTGAATAAGCTGTCATGGAGCAATGACTGTCTTTAACCTTCCTCCCATAGTCCCTCTGTCTTCCTCAACTCCTCACTCCAGGGCCTGCACCTTGTTCTAACTTATTCGAGGCTTATCTTAGCCCCGCCCTTGGCTCGCCCCCACACCTGGCTCCCCTTCAAAGTTGTGGGCCCCAGGACTTAACTTTCCAGGCCAGTCCCCAAGGCGGCAGGCCCAAGTCACAGGCCCAGTGCCATTATGTGGCACAACACCAAAGCCCCTCCCTATATGCAGATACCCAAGGTCCTCCTGGGTCCTGGCCTCCCTCTCTTTTGTGGCCCCACGCTTCTCCCCACCCCAGTGGCTTGCAGATTCCAGGTGTGACTTTGGTCTCAGGGCCCGTCCTCTTCCTGGACAAGTTTAGAAACCCTCCATGGCTCTGCCCCTCCTCTAGCCACGCCCTTAAACCAGGACCCACCCCCAGGCCCCGATCCCCCATCCATCCCAGCACCCAGCAAATTAGCCAAGCCCCTTTCTTCAACCCTATCCCCTGGCGGCCCGCTTTTGCAGGGCTAACCCTTTGGGGGGTCACAACCCCAAAGACTCCAGGCCCCAGCCAACGCCTTGGGAACATCTGCCTCTTCTCCTGGCCACCCCAGCTCTTTGACCCCCTCAGGTCTGGCCCTAGACAGATCAGGCCTCGCTTAGCCCCCAAGGAGCCAACCAAATGTCTGCCTTAACGCTTCTGGGGACTTCATTTCCAACCCACATAACCTGGTTTTAGTCCTGAGTCTGGGGCCTTGGTTCCATATATACCCTTAAGTCTCTGCCCCAAAGTTCCAGGTCCAGGGTGCCTCACTGTTTTTAGGACCAAACAGTGGCCCCGCCCCATTGCTAAGCTCCGCCCCCACGACCCTGGGCTGTTTCAGGGCCCGCCCTTCTCGTGGCCCCTCCCACTCGCCCCGCCCACGCGGCGGGGCCCGCCCCTAGCCTCCACGCACCTCCCGCGGAGATGCGGCTCCAGGGACAGGCTGGGTACATGAAGGCGGCGTTCTGGATCTGGTCGTTGATGTCCTCATCCTCATTGAAAGGGAACGTGCCACTGAGACTGACGTACATGATCACGCCCACCGACCACATGTCCAGCGAGCGGTTGTAGCCCTGGTTGAGCAGCACCTCGGGCGCCAGGTAGGCCGGCGTGCCAACCACCGAGCGCCGGAACGACTTCTCGCCGATGATGCGTGCGAAGCCGAAGTCACAGAGCTTCACCTGCAGAGGTGAGCGATGGAGGGTCTGAAAGAGCGTTAAGACCACACCCTCCCCCATCACAGTACTCCAGAGAACGTGGAATACTGATTCGAATCCAGGCGCCTCCGCTGACTAGTCGAGTGACCCTGGGCAAGTGACTTCTACTCTCTGTGCCTGTTTCCTCATCTGTATGAGCAGGAGGATCATACCAGCGCCTACCTCAAGGGTCGTCATGAGGATTACAGGAGTCAATCCATATCCAAAGCTCAAAGGACAACAAATGCCTGGAACAATGAGCGCTCAATAAATGTTACCTGCCACTACACCTGTCACGTGGAGCAGGTGTTAACCCCCAGGTGGCTGTCTCCTCTTCTGCACAGTGCAGATGCTAACTGTCCCCGCCTCCCCTCCCTTAGAGGGTAGGGTGGCTGGATGGATTGGAAAAGCAAACACACGTCAACTGTCAGGAGCAGTGTCTGACAGAGTGAGTCCGTGATCTCAGCAGAGGGACCGAAGTTCTCCCAGCCCCAGTTCTGTCGTCTGTATTGGGGGTGTCAATAGCAGCTTCCTCTCAGGCTCCCCTGGGGATTCAATGGCACTGGGCAGGTAAATTGCTGACCACAGTATCCCGATGGTAACGTGTGCGCCTACCTTTCCCTCAGTGGTGGACGTGGTCTAGGGTTATGGGACAGACTTTAGAGCCAGCGAGACCTGAGTCCAAGGTCCTGCTCTGATGCCAACCAATCCATGGGCAGCACCACCTCTGTGCTGCCGCCTCTAGTCATGTATCGTCCCTTCCCTGCTCAAAATCCTTCCTCCGCTCACTACCGTTCTCCAGATAAAGTCCAAAAACCCTTGCAGCCCCAAGCCTCTGTCACCTTCAAAAGCAGCCACACTCCAACCCCCAACCCGAATCGCAACTTGACAGCCGATACCACCCTTCCCTAAGACCCTTTTCCTTACAGAGCTTTTTCTTTTCTAAGATCTACCCTTTTCTACAGACCTTATAATGGACTATTATTCAGCCATAAAAAGAAATGAAGCATATGCTGCGACAGAATTGAACTCTGAAAACATTAACTAAGTGAAAGCTAGTCACAAAGGACAACATATTATATTATCGTGTACTCCATTTGCATGAAATGTCCAAAATAGGTAAATCCTCAGAAAGTGGATCAGTAGTTGGGGGCGGGGGGGCTGGTGGGATTGGAGGATGCTGGAGTGATGAAAATGTTCTACCGTTAATTGTGGTGAAGGTTGTATGATGCTGTGAATACACTAAAAGCCACTGAATTATACACTTAGAATGGGTGAATCGTACAGAATGTGAATTATATCTCAATAAAGCTGTTAAGCAAAAGTATAGCTCTTTCCACCACAGGGCCTTTGCACAGGCCGTTCCTGCTGTCTGGAACCCTTGTCGCCCTAAAAAACCAACTCCCACTTTCTTCGGAGAAGTCTTCTCTGACCCTCCAACTGGGCTGTGCATCTTCCAGTTACCTGGGCTCACAGAACTCGTCATAGATATAATTACCTTTTTGTGACAATTTGATCAACATTCGCTCTTCTATGACCTGCACTGTCCGGTATGGTGACTGCTGGCCACATGTGGCTACTGAGCCCTTGAAATGTGGCAAATGCAACTGAAAAACTGATTTTTAATTTTTATTTAATTTTAATTAATGTATGTTTAAAACAGATCCTAGGTTCAGTTATTGAAAAACTTTTCAACATGTTTGTAACCATTTGGCATACGCCAATCTACTTTTCCAACTGTTAATTCTGTGAAATCTAAATACAAATCAAGAATTTCTGATGACAGTTTAACAACTGAATTGAGATGTGCCGTTAAGTGTAAAATACACACCAGATTTTGAAGCCTGAGTATCAAAAGACTATTTCATTAATACTTTTTATGTTGGTTACATGTTGAAATGATAAGATTTGGGTATGCTGGGATGAAGTGTATTATTAAAATTTACTTCGCCAGCCTCTACTTTTTTCAATGCGGCTACTAGACAATGTAAAACTATAGATATGGTTCATATTATCTTTCTGGTGGATACTATTGCTCAAAATCAGGCTTTCTCATGCTCGTCAATATTAGCATTTAGGGCAAGAGAAGCCTTGGTTATGGGGCTGTCCTGTGCACTGCAGGATATTCAGCAGCATCCTCACCTGCCACCAGTGCTCACTGGACTTCCCCAAATCACTAGGGGATATCACTGACCTGGGGAAATGGGTCAGCTGATGCCAGCAACACGTTTTCTGGTTTCAAGTCACAGTGAACGATGTTCTTGAAGTGAAGGTGTCTCAAAGCCACCAGGATCTGAGGGGATGAGATGGGGCCGGTCAGAAAGGTAGAAAGGTAGAAAGGTACCCGCCCCGGATTTGCCCTCAGCAGCCAGCTCTCCAAACCCCATTCGTGACCCTCTCTGCACCCCTAAAGATGCCTGCTGGGGCCAAGGGAGGCATTGGAACACCAAAGAAGAATCCCAAAAACCCAGAACCATTTATGCTTGAGACAGGCATAATTCTAGACACATAATTCTAGAAACACTGAATTGGAGCAGTGGGTCTGGGAAGGCACCAAGACCATCTGGTGTGTGGGCTCTTGATAAAAAGGGGTTATTAAAAAGGTGGTGGCCCCCAAGGGGGTACAATTGTGTGAGTCCACTTTAAAAATATATTTTTTTAATCCATGAAAAAATTGTAATACGAAATGATGCAAACACTACCACGGCATGTATTAAGAGGTGGGAGGGGTTCCAGAGCCAGCCTACCAAGGTGGAAAGCCTGGCTCTATACTGGCTATGGCCTCGGGCAAGTCATTTTCTCTCTCTAGGCCTCAGTTTTCCCATCTTTGAAATGGGGGTGATGACAGTACCCAGCCTCGTGAGTTGCCAGGAGATTTAAATGAGCCGATGCATATAAAGTGCGAGGTCAGTGTCCGGCACAGAGCAGGCACTACATGTTCGCTGCCATTATCGTTGTTCTCACTGGTTATTATTTTGGTGATGGCCTATTGGTGAACACGTTTCTCTGTCTGTTTCAAACAAAGCCTCTCGGGCTGTTATCTGTTAAGTCAAGAATGTTCTAGGATGACAAGGTGAGCTGATTTTAAAATAAAACAAAAAACAAAAACGGATACCATGTATAAGCACTTAACTGCGGGAAACACAGTTTTCCTTGATTCTGTGTAACTCAAACAAAATACCAAACACACTGGAAGGAGAGTAATGTGAGCGTGAATTTGTCATCTCCGTCTCAGAAATGAAATGTTTTTCATTGTTTTCGCTGGATGACTTTCAAGAACAGAAATGGACCTTGAAAGCCGCTGCTAGGTTTAATGTGCTCCTTCTACATACGAGGAGGCTGAGCAACCGGGATGTATTCGTACATCTTCTCCCGATTTCCTGTTTGTTGATTTCTATCCTCCCAGTAAGTGTGGCGAGCAAACAGGGTAGACGGGAAGCTAGACAGATCCAGATTCAAATCTCGGCCAGACCGCTACCTAGCTGTGTGACCTCGGTCCATAGCCAGGAACCTCAGTCTCCTCACTTGTAAGATAAGGGAGTTACAGTAATACCTACCTCAAAGGGTGGTCGTGAGGCCTAAACAAGTGAAGGGCTTAGCCCAGGACTTGGGGTGGAACAGGCAAGAGGCAGAAAGCAGAAATCTGCAGAGAGAAAGAAAGAGAAAAAAGCACAGGCAGAAAGAGAGGAAGAGATGGATGACCAGACAGGAAGAGCTGCCACCTCGGTTGCCGCAGGCTGGCACCTTCTTCTCCCCACCCTGCCAGCCAGCCCGACAAAGGCACACAGCTTGGGAAGGCGGGGCTGCCGGGCGTGGATAACAGCAGTATAGCACAGGGGTCTTTGCGACCAACAGAAAATGCGTCCCAGAACCAGGGGAGGGACCAGTCAGATGGGAAGGCCTTCCTAGGAAGGCCGTGAAACTCAGAAGCCACAAAAGGCAACATTTAACAATGTAAAAGTTAAACTCTCTATGGCAAATAAAAGCCATGAATGAAATGTGCAGGAAAACAAATAGTGGGATAAAAGAAGAGAACGATACAGTGACAGGGATCCAAAGCCCCTCATATACAAAGAGTTCTTACCATTCAATAAGAATAACCCAACCGAAAAAAGGGTACATAAAACACAGGCTGATGAACATATAAAAACACGCTCGAGCACACCCATATTTTTAAACGGCTGAACGAAGCCACATGGAGTACTACTTCTCCATCCGTGAGGACTGGCGTTTATTTTATCCAGCGTTAGTGAAAATGAGAAAAAGACACGCTCAAACTCTGTTGGTGAGAGCAAAGACCGAAAGGGATTTTAGAGAATAACTGGGCAACATCCTTAAGAAAATTTAAAGCATATTTTGCTGGACTAGGGAGTCTACTCTCTGAACGGGTTCCCACCAGAGCCCAGTGACGTCTGAACACGGATATTCACAGGAGGTTGTTTGTAGGAGCGAGAAAGTGAAAACAGCCTCCGTGCTCAGCCGCTGGGGAATCTGGTGACATCCATCACGGAATACAACTCAGAAAAAGGGGCGGTTCTGCCAACGGCTCACTACGTGCTGCAAGCCGTGTGCCGCTTAGCGACGGGGCTGTGTTTAGAGAATCGGGTCGTTAGGCGACTTCGCCGTCATGCGAACATCACAGAGTGCGCTCGCAGGCACCTGGATGGCACAGCACCCCCCACGCCGAGGCTGCGGGGTGCAGCCCGCTGCTCCCAGGCTGCGAGCCCAGGCACGTCATCCAACCAAATAACATCAAGCACGAGAGAAAACGATGCGATCCAGAGACACGTGATGAACGCGAGAGGGACGAGGTCGCCGCTGGGGTAATTCACGCTGGTTACAGCGCACGCTTTGTTAGTAAGTACAGAGAGAACGCTCTAAAATAACGATGACAAGGATCGTACAGTAAATACCTAAACCAGTGACACTGGCGTTTGCTATCAAGTATCAGGGACTGTACCTAACTGTGTGCGCTACACTTCTGTACGGCCCGAGGTGCAGTAGGCGTGTCTACACCAGCGTCACCACGAACCTGTGAGCGGTGTCTTACGGTCTGACACGTTACCATGGCTGCAGTGTCGCTAAGCGACAGGGACTTTTTGGCTCCACTGTGACCTGCGGAGCCACCGCTGTACGCAGGCTGCATCGTTGACCGAAACACAGCCCCCGACTGTATTAATAACTAGTAATACAATTTTTCTAGTTATTATCCTATTACTTTTCTATTGCTATTACTCTATTTCTGCCCTAATATCATTTTAAAATCATATCACTCTATTACTTCTTCTATTGTTACTGCGACTCCATTATTACGTTTTCTATTGTCCACTGTCGTGACTCCTGCCCAGTGTCTGCCTGACCTCTGGGCACACGGGGGCCTCTCCGAGGGGACGTGTGCCCAGGGCGGCGGGGCGGGCAGCGGGGCAGGCGGCGGTGGGCGGGGCGGGCGGCGCACCTGGGTGATGAGGAACTTGGTGAGGCGCTCTGGCAGGCGGCCCTTCTCGCTGGAGAGAATCAGCTCCAGCATGTCCCCGTGCAGCTTCTCCATCACCACGAACACCTTCTCTGGCGTCTCGAACATGCACTCCAGGTTCACGATCCCTGGGTGCCGCAGGCTCTGGGGTGGGGTGTGGGGTGCTGCTGGTCAGGGCCCAGGTGACCCACGAACTTAGGACCCCCGAGGGCAAGTCGTGGGAACAGGTGGACGACAAACAAGGAGCTGTCCCCAAATGAGCAGCTTGTTCTCTGGGGGTGGAACTGGGGGAGGGAACGAGGCATCCCCCCAGCCCCAGAAAGAACCACCCCCCTGTACCATGGGGCATCCAGAAGGATCTTTACATCATGAAATTCTGATGAAGGCCCAGGGTTGCGGGAGGGAGGGAGAGTGTGAAGATGAGAAGAATCTCTGTACATCTGTCTTTTAAATTTGCGCCTCCTCCCTTTTCCCTAGGCCTGGACTGGCCTGACCCCATCTCTCCCACCCAGGTCCCCACCCAGCCGGGTCCCCACCCAGCTGCCTCCTTGGGCTCTAGGCTCTAGTCCCACCCCTTTCCGCCTATGCTCCGATGGCAGCCCGAGGGACCTCTCTAAAGCACATCCCTTCCTTGCCCAAAATCCTTCCATGGATCCCCAGTACTCTCAGGAGAAAGTCCACAGGGTGTGACCCCAACTCCTCCCTGGCCACCACGTAAACTATCTAGTAACCTTGAACTCCTGCAAGTTCCAAGAAGACATTAAGTTCTCTCTCACCTCCAGACCTTTGCACAGGCTGGTCCCTCTGCTCAGAACACCTTCTCCACCCCTTCAGTCTAATCGTGCATATTCTCTCCTCCAGGAAGCCTTCCCTGACTACTCCCAGACGGGGTCAGTTGACCCTTGAAAGGAGGAAGTGAGAAGGAAAGGTCCTTCCTGGGTAGGGGCACAGACCCCAGTGGTCACCTGCAGAATGGCCACTTCATTCCGGAGCTGGCTCTCCTGCTTGGTGGGGAAACGCAGTTTGTCGATGACCTTGACTGCCACGTCCCGGCCCGTCTTCCGGTGCTTTCCTGGACAGCGGGTAGGGAAGGGGGGGGGATGAGGGGAACAGGACTTTCCAGTACGGGCAAGAGGAACCACCCCCAACACAGGCACATAGCCAGCATTAGGCAAAAGTGGATGGAAGGCCGTCGAGATGGCTCGGAGTGGCCCCCGGGAGAGACGTGGGGGGCAGCAGGCAGTATAAAGGTGGAATGAAGAAAGGTAAAGACAGAACCCTAAGGACTCGATTAACTGGGAAACTAGATTTATAACCAAATATAAAGGTGGAATGAAGGGAGGTAAAGACAGAACCCTAAGGAGGGGACTCGATTAACTGGGAAACTAGATTTATAACCAATCGGAATCCAGGCTCTAGCTCTGCGGCCAGAGCACAGACCTGCTCTTCCTAGTGATGCTGGCGGAAAAGTCCACTGCTTTTCCCAAGGAGAAAAGGACAGCCTGCGACCATCTGACCCAGGATCTAGCTTTCTAAGCAGCCAAAATCAGATGGGACGGCCTGGAGCCCAGAAACCCCCGGAGACCCGCTCTGGGTGACTCTGAAGTGCACTTACCTCCATAGACCACTCCAAATTGCCCCGAGCCCAGCACCTCGTCCGGGAAGATCTGGTAGACAGTGGCAATGTCCTGCAGCAGGGGACAGGGACGGTCGGGAGTGGGAATGGAGATGGGGGTTCTAGGAGGCTGGGGAGGGTGGAAGGATTAGGGGACTTGTGGGAGGGGCCATGGGGTGTGGGTGGGGGGTCTCACCACATTCTCTTGGATCTGACTGTTAGACACAGAGATGCTCAGAGAAGCTTGTCCTGGGGAGAGGGGAGAGGCAGAGGTGAGGGGATCCGAGGCTCGAGATTATGTTCATCCATAGCTCCAGAGGCAGCAGCTATGGAGCCAGACCACCCAGGTTTGAGTCCAGGTGGTCCAAGGCGTGACTTCGGGCTACCGACTCGTCCTCTGTGCACCTCGGTTTCCTCGTCTGGAGAATGGGAATAATACCAGGACCTCCCTCACAGGGCTGGAGAGAGGAGCCAGTGAGACGTGCTGAGGGGGCTCGAGAAGCGATGTCATGAATGACCCCACTGAGCGCTTCGCCCCGTGATCTCGGCGCCAAGGAAGGCACGCTGACTCTATTTTACAGAGGAGGAGAGTCCGAAGTGATTCAGCATCTTCCCCTGAGCTTGCCCCGCTACCGGCCCAACCAGAACCAGACATTTCCAAAGTCACGATCCTTCTGCCATGGAACGTCTCCCCTCCCCCGAGACCTTCCCCCCCGGCCTCCCCCGTCATTTCCCAGCCACCATCTTGCTCTTACCTAGAGAAAAGCCAGAGGGATCGCCCTGCAGCACAGGTTTGACCCTGTCCCTCCCCACTCAGAACACACCATGGCTCCCCAGGGCCCTGGGGAAGGAGCCCAAGGCCCTGTCATGGCCATCAGGCCAGGTCTAGTCCCTCATCTATCCCTCTGGCTTCAAGCCCTACCCTCTGTTGTGTGTCACTGACACCCTGGACTCAGTTACAGCACGTTCTCTCCTGCCTCCGGACCTCGGTGCTTGCTGTTCCCTCTGCCAGGAGCACCCGGTGTCCCTCATTGTGGACTTACTTAAATCCTCCTTGTCCTTTAGTCTCAGCTTGAGTGTCACTCCTGGGGCCATGTCAGAGTACTCTAGCGCATGTTCTACATAACCACTGTCACCATACAGGATGACCTGATTAATGCCTGTCACTCACACTGAATTATAAGCTCCAAGAGTCCAGGAACCCGGAACTCTCTGACCACCCTTTGCCTCTGCCTGGCATCATTTCCCATTTGCCTCCCCCATTTCGCCCTTCCTCAGCCTCCAAGTCTCCGCCAATATTGCCTCCTCCAGGAAGCCTTCCTGGATATCCATCAGGCATCGTCTCTGGGCTAGTTCCCATGTCCCAGCCCTGCTCACTCTGGGGTAGCGCTGTCTAAAGACAGCTCCATCTCTCCCACTGGACTGTGAGCCCCGTGAAGGCAGGTCTTGGGCTGTCCTGGTCACAGCTGTGTCCCTAGCTCTGTCCAGCAGAGGCCGGGCACAGAGTAGGTACTCAGTCAATGTGTGAATTAAAGAGTCTGAACTCACAGCCTGGAGGTGTCACCATCACCTGGCCAAAACCCAGAGAGGGAAGTGACATGCCCAAGGCCGCACATCAGGTCCAGTGCTTAATGGAGATTTGGACCCAGGCCTACTGAGTCCAGGGGCGACATTCACCGCCGTGCCACTCCTGGCCTTCCCCGGGCTCTTCCCTTCCCGAGGACCCTGCCCAAGGCCTCCCAGACCCAGAGCGGGGGACTTACTGTGGGGCGTGTGGCCTGGGGCGCTAGGTGCATCCTGGAGGATGACGGGCATCAGGGCTTGGCGGATGGCCGTTTCCCAGCCCCGGGCGGTCTCTGCCCCCTGCCCACTGGGCCCTCCTGGGGCCCCGCCAGGCGTCTCGCCCACGAAGTAGGTGGTATTGGCGGTGACGATCTCGAAGCAGTGTGGGTTGGTGCCTGGTGGCACAAGGCTGAAGTTCTGGGCGGGCTCCACAGTGAGGATCTCCGACAGTGGGATTTCCTGGCAGAGCACAGAGCCAGCGCGGGTGAGGGTACGGGGCAGGGTCTGCCCTCCCTCGCCACCCCCACTCAGAAAAACACAGAATTCAGTGTCAGTGGGGAAGGACCTGGTTTGCATGATTTGGTCAGGAAAGGCCTCCTGGAGGAAGCTACATTGACGCAGACACCGGAAAGGTAAGGAGAGGCCAGCTGGTGGAGGAAGGGTGGAAAAAGCACGTGCAAAGGCCCTAAGGTGGGAAAAGCTGGTGTTCGGGGGACATGTTATATGCCCATCACGTGGATGGTGCCTGGCACGTGGTAGGTATGCCACGTTTGATGAATAAATAAAGGAAACGAGGCGAGGGCCAGGCCACACGCACGAGGCCTCCTGGGCCCCAGGGAGGAGCCTTGGCTCTATTTCCAGGGCCCTGGGGACCCATGGAAGGGTTTAGAGCAAGAAAGGGCAGGTCTCTCTGGTTGTGTGTTGAAGGCGGATGGGAGAGCATGGGATTGAGACAGGAGACGATGAAGGAGGTCGAGGGGGCCCGGTGGGAGAGAAGGTGCAGGGTCTCTGGGAAAGGAGAGGATGTGCTTTGCAAAGTCCTGAAAGAAAAAAGAAGGAGAGAGGAAGAAAAGAACGAAAGAGTGACAACAGAGCGACAGACTTCTGCAGCCACTGAAGCCAGGAGTCGGAGACGTAACAGTGGGGATGGCATTTTAGACAGTGGGATCGGTGTCTTGAGATAGCGTGGTTTGAGGAAGGCGAGGAGGATGAGAAGGGACCAGCCATGGGAAGTGTACGGAAGGGGATGCACAGCAGGGAACAGCCAGGCATCTCGGTTTTATTCTAAGGGCGGTGGAAGCCATCAGAGGGTTCTGATGGTTTTAACTGACTCCTCTGGCTGCTCTGGGGGAAAATCTGTGAGGACGAGGGCGGAAGCAAGGGTCCAGTGAGGAGACTGTCACAATCAGCCGGGTGGGACATTGGCTGCAATGCAGTGCTGGCATGGGGGGCAGTGATGAACACAAATAAATAATTCAGTAGATTAATTATAAAGTAATAATGAGAACGAGGTTATGATTATTGGGAGCTTAATACATGCCAGGCCCTAAGCTAATTGCTTCCTATAAATTATCTCTAAATTCTGGCCACAGCCCTGAGGGGAGGGCTATTCTTTGAGGCTTTTACAGGTAAGAGACGTGAGATGCAAAGAGTTAAGTCACCCTGGGTCCCTCGGCTGGACAGTGGTGAAGCCGGAATCAAACACACAGGCGGGGTGGCACTTGCTGATGGGCTGGGAGCAAGCAAGCAGGGAGTGCGGAGAGGGTATGATTCTGGGCATTTGGCTGGAGCAACTAGGAGAGAAATGGAGAGGGTAGCAGCAAAGAGGGAAAGTCTGAGGGAGCTGGGAGCCAGAGCTTACCTTGTAGTATCTGTTGGTTGTGTTGTTCTGGAAGAGTGTGATGCACTTGCAGTCCAGGCGCCAATAGTGCCGCTTCCTCTGTTGGGAGAGGTGTTTGTGGGTGAGGCTGTCGCCCGCCCAGTCTGCAGCTTGGGTTCCTCGCCTTCAGCCAAGCCCCGCCCCTAGTTCTAGCTCCGCCCCACGGGCCCCGCCCCACCCGACCTCGCCCTTAGCCCCGCCTCTTCTTAACTCCTGTCCCGCCCCTCCTCTAATTCTAGCTGGTCTTCAGCACGGCCCCGCCCCGAACTCTGGCCCCACCCCACCCACTCACCAGCGTGTCCTTGTTGCTGTAATGAACCACCCAACCTTCGTGCAGTGTGGTGCTGGATTTCCGTGTCGTGTGTCGCACTGACTGCACCACCCTCATCAGGGGGATGTAACCGAGGGAGCTGAGGAGGGGAGAGGAAGGGGCGAGAGGTTACTACAAGCACTGCACAGAGCTTCTGGGTGGTCCCAGAGTTCGATTTCCCTTCCTGTTTCGCAGATTTCCCATAATTAGAAGGGGACTCTTGAGAGGCTGGGTTCCCAAGTCAGGCTGCCTGGCAGATCACCAAGCTCCCTCAAAGGGGTTGCTGTGAAGAGTGAAAACATTTCTAAGGAGCTTAGCACAGTGCTCCGCACACAGTGGGCCTTCAGTAAGTGCTAATTAGTATCGAGCCCAGAGATGCAGCCAGCTGTGTGACACTGAGCAAGTAACTCAACCACGCGGTGCCTCTTTTCCCTCATCTGTGCACATGCTGTCACTACAGTGAGGAGGCCGAGAGATGAAGTGACTTGCCCAACTCCAGGACCAACTACCTCTTGCACTAGATCAGGCCTTGAGTGGCCATGGCCACTTCTCTTTGTCTCTCTTTGTGTATACATGTATTACTGTATAAATACAATGGATTCATGAGACTGTGTTAACACTGTTCTAAAACACATGCAAAAAGAGTGAAAACATTTCAAGGATTGAGATTAAAAATAAAGGGCACAGGAAAGTCAAATCTTTTCTTCCCATACCCCCCGAATGGATCATCTCTCGCCCTCTCCACTTTGGGGTTCATGGTTAAAATACCATGGTTAAAATACTTTTCTATTTTCTCAGCACTTAGAACCGGGCAAGCACTTTACCTGCAGGATCTAATGGAATTTGCACACCGCCGTATGAGGTGGGTGCTGTCACTGGCCCGGGGGAAACCGAGGCACATGCTGAGGTGACATGGGCCTCAGCCTCCAGTGCCCTGGGCTTGAGCACTGCTGTCTTCCTACCTCCTCACGAAACAATCACCCCACACCCGAGCCCTGTCCTAGGCACCTGGAGAATGACAAACGTCTTCATCCTCAAGCACTTGAGCTCACATTCTAGTGAAGCTGAATAAATGTGAGTTCCATTTACAATTTAAAATGTGGAATTAAGTACAATTCGTTATTATTTTTCAGAGCTTCCATGCCAGAAGAAAGCCACTACCTGCCAGGTCCTTGGGGATATCTCCCCTCCCCCACTTTACGGACAGGGAGACTGAGGCACCGAAAGAAGCGGCTTGTTTAAGGCCGCACAAGTCAATCCGAGGCCAAAATGGTTGAAAGAAATGGATATTTCCCCTTCCTTTTTAAGATTTTAGTGCTCTGTGATAAGAGCTAACGCTATACAACACTGCATATCAGGCACCGTTTCAGGTTCTTAATTTGTATTCATTCACTTCGTCTTCACGACAACTCTATAAAGTAGGCACCGTTTTTTTCCCCACTTTACTGATGAGGAAACTGAAGCTCAGAGAGGTTAATTTCTTGCCTAAGGCCACACAGCTGTCCGGTTCCAGAGTCCATGTTCTCATTCACTCTTCCTACTGTCAGTCTGCAATACAGACTGTTTCTGGAAGCACCTACCAGAAACCACTCTCAGGAGCATCCTCCAGGGAGAGGATCTAGGCAGCTGGGAGGCGGGAAAGTGGGAGGGTTTGACCACGTACTTTTTGAATGACTGTATTACCAGTTCCGAAATACGATATAAATTAGAATGTGCTTTTATGAAAACTTTTAAAAATGTAAATCAGGAAGAAAGGTTAAATTGAAAAATAAAGTGTGGGTGCTTAAATGGTTCGCCTCCGTAACCTGGGACATTTACAAGCAGAGGGCGATGCTGACCCTCGGGCGAGACGGGGCGGGGCATGTGCGGAGGGCGCCCTGGGTACCTCGGGGCTTTGCCTCCCTCAGCTTCCTCCTCCTCGCTGGCGTGCAGGGCGTTTTCCGAGTGGGAGCCGGGGATAACACCGGAATCGTCTGACTCATCCATGAGGGTGCTCTTGTCGGCCTCGCTGAAATCGGTGGCCTCTTCCATTGGCACATCTGGGGGCACAGGGTATCAGAGGGGCCTCCAACCAGTCCGTCCCGGTGCCCCTTCACACTCAGCCCACAACCTCTTACCTCCATTGATAAGCGCCTCCCCCAAACAGTCGTTAGGGACTCGGGTGGCACAGCGTTTGTGACAGTTAAACTTGCAGTCTGGAAGTAGGACAGGGAATAAGGAGACAGGTGGGAGGGGGAAGAGAGATCACCTGTAAGGGTTCAATCTTGATCTTTAACCTCCAAGCTCAAAAGAGCCTGCTTTTGCTATCTGGGACAGGACACTAAAGCTCAAACACTGTCAATACCCATCACCATATCCTCCTACGATTCCAGAATGTAACAGGGTCTGACATCCTGTGCTTCTGGACTTTGAACACCCAAGGGCAGGGTTTCTCCGCCTTTGGCACCGGGAATGTTGGGGGCTGGCTACTTCCCCGTGTGGACAGCTGTTCTGTGCATAAGGATGCTTAGCAGCACTCCTGGCCTCTGCTCACCAGATGCCGGTTGCACCATCCCCATGGACAAACAAAATGTTTCCCAGCATCCCCTGGGAGGGGACGAAACTGTCCCTGGTTGAGAATTGTTGCTCTAGAGTGTGATGACTCCAAAGTTATAGGATTCTACACATCAGTGATTCTAGAATTTGATGTAAAGCTAATTTTCTAAGGCTCTGTGATTCTAGATTTCTAAGACTCCAGAGTTCGATTCCAAGTTTCTAGAACTTTACACGCATGTATGATTCTACAGTCCTTTAATTCTAGACTGTTAAGACTCCTTGATGTTCCAGGCCTTAGAGTTCGGTGACTCTAAAGTTCTAGGGTCTAGACTTCTAAGTCTCCAGAAGCTGGTGATTCTAAGGTTCTAGGATTCTGTAGCGCTAAGATTACAGAAGTTAATGTTTCTACAGTTCTTTAGCAATAGAGATCTAAGATTCTAGAATTTAATTGTTCCAATAAATTCTAAAATTGGAAGGCTCCGGGTTTTTAAGGATCTAGACTTCTGGTATTCTAGATTTTGATCAGTTGACATTCTGAGGTTCTAGATTTCTAGACCTCTACAATTCCATGATTCCCTGGTTATACGATTCTAGACTTCTAAGCCTTGAATTTGATGCTTCTAGGTTTCTATTATTCTCAAATCTTATGGTTCTAAAGATCTAATATTTTGAGAATCTACAATCGGTAGTTCTAAGATTTATGAACGTAAACTTCTGTGGTTCTTTTAGCTGAATCCTATGATCCAGCATTCTTAAATCTTATACTTCTAAGGTTCTCTGATTCTAGAATTCTCAAGTTATACAGTTTTAGAATTCCGTGCTGTCTTACGAATCCAGATTTATAAGGTTCTGGGCTTCTAAGTTTTTTGTTGTTGTTGTTGTTTTTAAATTTTATTCCTCTGGGTGTGTGGGGGGAGGGAGGTGGAGGGAGTTCTGACCCTGTCTGTCTCCTACCCCACCCTTGGGGATCCCGCTGACCTTTGCACTGCAGGCCTTGGCGGAAGAGGCCCTTGAGAAGTTTCTTGCAAGCCTGGCAGACGGTGGGCCGCGTGTAGCTATGGATGAGGAAGGTGTGTGGCACCTTGACCTTGGAGAGCAGCATCTTATCCAGCTCGATGGGGCGACCGGTGTAGGATGAGGCAGACGAGGAGGAGGAGGATGACTGGGGGCGGCGAGGCAGGAGCTCGGTGGTGCTGCGGCTCTATGGATCAGCGAGAGCAGAAAGAACACGTCGGTTCGTTGCCCCACGTCTGGGCCTCGTCACCCCGTAGTCTCCAACCTAGCCCGCTCCCCAGCCCCTCACCAGCTCATCAGCCGTGCAGGGCAGAGAGTCCGAGGTGCCGAGGCGCACCGAATGGCCACTGGCCAGAGACGTGGAGGACAGGCGCCGTTTGCGAGCCCCACTGCAGTTGTTGGGGATGCTGAAGGCGCAGCGCTTGTGGTAGTTCAGTCCGCAGCCTGTAGGGGGCGGAGGCGGGGGAAAGAGCGTCAGAGACACAGCTTCCACCCGCCCTGGCCTCGAAAGCTCCGCCCCCTTCGTTTCCGCAGGTCCCGAGAACAGCAGATCCCTCCCGACGCCTTAGTAGCATGATTAAAGCCAACAGAAATCTACGAAAACCTAATTCAGACAGAACTGCTAATGGCCCAGAACCTTCAGGAATGAAGGTGTGGGCCACGCGGCCAGGCAAAGCACCACGAACAGGCGAGGCGTCTGCTGAGGACAAACAGAATACGGCTTGGGGAGTGAAGAAGAAAGCCACCACCGAGTGACCCGTGCAGAAATAAGGTGTATTTCTTCCATATTTTATGAATATGTGTGTGTGTACCAAATACTTTCATTTTCTGTCCTCTTCTGCCCCCTTATCACCTAACGTAATATAGTAACAATGACTAACTTTCTATCGTGGTATTTAAGTGACGGGTCATCAAAGGAGAAGGAATGCCACCCAAGGACACACACATCGTCTTCTGGGGGGAAGAAAGGGTTAGCGTGCTTTGGGTTGTATTCAAAATGGTGTATCGTGTCGGGTGGAAGCATGCTTGTTATTGTTGCTTCTTTTCCTTTTCCTTTTTTCAATCCTCATCCATGAAAGAATCAGGCGCAGCTTGTGATTCCCACTGGGCTTCCTGAAACCGTGCTCCAGTCCATCTCCGGTGATTCCGAGATCTGCTCTAGAGGAAAGAATGTGCCTCCAGCCTCTGGAAGCTTCTTTCGGGACGCTTCATGAAGCCTGTTGTTAGTCCGCCTGTTACGGACCTTCCAGCTCAATAACTCTCCATCACAGGCACTATCTCGGATGCACGATGTCACACACCGCAGAGAAGACCTTTAAGATGGCAAATGGCCTTTGCATAGAGGAACCACCGTCCAGTGTGGCCTTTCATCGGTCACGTGCTTCATGGAATTTCAGAATCTCACCCATGACTAGAGGTATGAGTATCCAGGTAGAATGAAACTCCCGTAGGAAGGCACCAGTGGCATTCGGAATGGTCATTTGGGCATCTTTGGTCACTATGTGAACTTGGAGCATCATCTGTGATGCTCGACCAAGGAAATCCATGCTCAGAATGGCCATGAGAGTTTGACGATACCAGGGTTGTGCCACGATGAAAGTTACATACGCCAAGACATCAAGAGTTGGATATGATGTGTGGACGATGGCAATGTTGGTAGCAGCTTTGACTGCACTGAAATGGCTTTCTGCAGGCCTGAGATGGCTATCGTCCCAAGTCCTTAAATAGTGCCGCAGTATTTAAGGGCTGCATGATAACAATCCTAGTTAGTGCTGTAGGTCACCTGGAACGTAGGGTACTGAAGACTCCAGATTTCCATGTGAGCGTGACAGCCACGAGCCTGAAGATCTTTAGACAATGGAACAATGGAATATACCTCTAAGAGCAGGCACGCTGAACAGACAACGGAGGTGCAGCTCGTCATCACAGAATGGACGGCCCTCACCTGCTGTGTGTGGAGCACAGCCAAGGTGGGCGTGTGGCCTTCATCTGCAGGTGGGCGAGATCTCAATGTTCTCTCGAGCGTTGCTGGTGATCCTGATGCCTGGGCTTAAGCTTGAGATATCTTGGCTAAAGGAACATGGTGTGTTCCTTTATTACTTTTTTTTAAGTATGATTTAAGGAGATGTGTGCCGGTGTTTGGTGTAGACTATCTGGGCCCCTCCGCCAATTTGCATGTTGAGGTCCTAACCTGCTAGTCCATCGGGCGGGCCTGTTTCAATCAGCAGAAAGCTTTAAAAAGTTGAGCTGAGACTCCCCAGATGAAGAAACTCTGCCTGTGAATAGCAGCTTCAGCTCCTGCCTGAGCATTCCAGTCCGCCCTTGCTGACCACTGCCCTACGGACGTCGGAGGTGGCCGGCCAGCTTCCCAAATCCTGTAAGCCAATTCCTTCCAAAAATCCCTTAATAGGTACCTTCTACTGTCTTGTTTCTCTGGTTGACACTTGACTGATATTGGCTCCGCCCTCTTCTCTGTGCCCTTCACCTCTCCCTCTGAGCTCCACCTCCTAGGCTCCACCCCTGGGGCTGAGGCCCGCCCTGAGCCCCACCCTCCACCAAGCCCCGCCTCTTGGCCCCACCTCCAGCCCCTCCCCTTACCTCTCCCTCCGAGCCCGCCTCCTAGGCTCCACCTCTTGGTCCTGAGCCCCACCCAGGCCCCGCCTCCAGCCCGCCCCCTCTCACCATCACACTTGAGGCCCTGGCGCACTAGACCGAAGAGCATCTCCCCGCAGTGGTCGCAGAAGGCAGGCGCTCGGTAGGAGTGCACCGTGAGAGCGTGCGGGCGGATCTGGAAATCTTCGAAGGTGGCCGAAGCTGCAGGCAGAGGGGAGGAGGGATGAGTGAGCCGGGGCCAGCGGAGGCTATTCCAGTCCCCGCGTTCCCAGGTTTCTGACAATCCTCCCAGCTGCAAAGTTTAATCGTTCCGTCCTTCATTCATTTACTCACATGTTACATCTACCTGGATTCAAATCCCAGCTCCACCACTGGGCGAAATACCTAGGTGTCTATGCCAGGGACTGGGGGAGGGGGAATGGGGAGCTGATGAATGGGATTTAGTTTTGCAAGATGAAAACGGTTCTGGAGATTGGTTGCACACAACGTGAACGAAATTAACACTACTGGAACAGTAGCCTGAAAAATGGTTAAGATGGTAAGTTTTATTTTATGTATATTTCACCACGATTAAATATCTTTAAATATAAAAAAATACGGATGCCTGTGTGCCACCCTCAGCGTTTCTGACCTACCAAGGGTAGAGCCGGAGCCATCCAGTCAGAAACAAACAACTGTGTGCCTCGGTTTTCTCATCTTTAAAATGGAAATCCAACAAATATTTACTGAGCATTGTCCTAAGCGGTAGGGACACGGCAGAGAACAAAACAGACAAAAATCCCTGCCTCGCTTCTAATGAGGGAGGTAGACAAACAAAATAAATAAAATAAATATTCTTATTCAATAATCACCCGGTCTAGCAGTTACTCTGTGCCAGGCACTGCTCTAAGTCCTTAAAAAATACTAATGAATTTAGCCCTGTCAAGAGCCCCGTGAGAACCATCCTTTTATAATCCACATTTTCTGTATGAGGAGCCTGAAGCACAGATAGGTCAAGCAGTTTGCCCAAAGTCGCAGAATTAGCATTCAAAGTGGCCAGTGTGGCTCTAGGATTCAATGCTTTTAGCACCATATTTACTGCCCCTCTGGAATTTTAAGTCATAAAATATACCGTTGGTTAGAAGTCAATACGTGTTTAGGAGAAAAATCAAACAAGGAAGAGATACAGGGAAGCTGCAAGAGGCACCATTTTAAATAGGTGATAAGGGAAGGCCTCCTTGAGAAGGTGGTGTTAAAGCAAAGGCTGAAGGGGGTAGGATATGAGCCTTCCAGATGTCTAGGAAAGAACAGGCCAGTATCTTACAGGTTCTTTAAGGATTAAATGAATATATGGAAAGCTCTGAAGACAGTGCCTGGCACATAGAAAGTATTCAATAAATGTTAGCTATTCCATAATATATCTCCTTACAGGTTCTTTAAGGATTAAATGAATCTATGGAAAGCTCTGAAAACAGTGCCTGGCACACAGAAAGTACTCAATAAATGTTAGCTATTATTTTGAAAGTTTTATTTTTAGAGTAAATCTGGCTCCCTCCCCCCCAACCCCAAGTTTTGGTCTAATATTAAGCTTTTTTTTTTTTTTTTTTTGTATTATGCAATGGGAAGAGGACTCTCTTCTATGAGCCAAGCACTGTTTCTCGCTCAAGATAAACAAGACAGAGAGCTGACATCTCAGGGAACTGACATTCTTTTGGGGAGACAGACACGAAACATAAAACACATAAATAAACAAGGAAATTTCAGACAATGGAAGAAATGGCATTTAAGCTGAGGTCCAAATAAAAAGAAAGAGCTAGCAGAGAAGACGGGATGGGGGAGGAGGAAGCATTCCAAGCATGGAGAACAGCAAGTGCAAAGGCCTCGAAGACGTAGGGGAGCTTTGTTTGTTCAAGGGATGGAGGGCAGGCAAGCATGGCTGGGACAAAGTCAGTGAGGACGGTGTCCAGATGAATTCGGGGAACTGGCAAGGGCCGGATCATGGACGGTCTTGAGGTCATGTTGAGGAGTTTGTATTTTACTCCAAGGCTAATGGGGAGCCATGGGAGGAGTCTGAGCAATGGAGTGTCGTGATGTGACTTAGGTGCCACCGAAACAGTCTCGGCAGGAGGTGACGGCGGCTTGGACCAGTGGAGGTAGTCAGAAATAAATTTCGGGTGTATGGTAATGGTGGGACCTATGAATCTGATGATGAAGCAAAGGGGTGGGAGAAAGAGAGGAATCAAGGATACACTAAGGTTTGGGGCAAATCGAAGTTTCTATCTTGGACAGGAAGTGTCTGAGACGCCCAGAGATGCCAGGTGGAGGTGTCAGGGAAGCAGCGACGTGAACAAGACTCGGTTTTAGGGGAGGGACCAGGATGAAGATAAAAATCTAAGAGTTGACAGCCTAAACGAGGGTATTTAAAACCTGAATAAGGTCACCGGGGACTTAAATCCAAACTTCTAATTTGTCACCCACCCATTCAACAAACATAACTGATCATTGCAGTCTGCAAGGGGCAGTAGGGGGTAGAGGAAAGACAGCCATGATGGAGACCATCACGACCCTCCCCAAACCCCACCAGCCCCTCCTGAAGAAACCAAGGGCCACAGACTCTTCTAAGGTGCTGAGGGCCTGACTGTGTGTAAAGTGGGGCTGGCCAGCAGGTGGACTAGATTCTGGCTGGAAATACAGGTGCCCAAGTGTCATCTCACCTTGTAGTCAGATTTCACTTAGCATTTCACTGAGAAGGAGGCATGGGCATCAAAACATTTCAAACTACATACATCTAACATACATCTAGTAAAGGACACATCAGAAGCACAAAGCTCAACGAATTGCCAAACCATACACACTGTGTCACCAGCAGCCTGACGGATAAATGGAAGTTTAAAGCAGACCCCAGAAAGCTCCCTCGTGCTGTCCACCCAACTCCGTCTTCCCCAGGCACCCACTCTCCTGGCTTCTAATACCACAGAGTAATTGTATCTGTCTTCGTGCTTCAAAACTGGAACCACACAGAAACGGAGTCTGATGTCTGGCTTGTGTCAGGGTTAGGTTTGTGAGATGCATGCCTGCTGCTGTGGATGGTTTATGTTCAGTGCCCTGCAAACTCCAGTGCGCGTGCCCCACAGGAAAACTGACTCATTTTGGAGCAGCGGTTTGTAAAACTCCCGGGGTGATTCTAATTTGCAGCCAGGTCTTAGAACCACTGACCCCTAACTTTAAGGAGCAAGTCTCTGGGCCCACCTCCCCTCCCAGCTCCTCCAGATGCCCTGCCCCCGCTCGAGGCGCCACCCTTAGGTGGACCTGGCCGCTCACCCGACAGCACCACCTCCACCAGGTCGCCCTCCTGGATGTCTCCCGCGGAGCGCACCAGCTGCAGGAGGTTAGCGGACGTGGGGTCATGTTTGAAGAGCAGGATCTTGTCGTAAAGGCCATAGAAGCCACACTCGGGGAACTGACGGGCGGGAGAGGGAGGTGCGACGGAAAAGCTCAGAGCTGCCTTGAGCAGCGGTCTGGAACCCTCCCCAGGGCAGGGCCGGCTGTTTCCCCCGGAAACCCAGAGACCCCGCGGCCCCTCACTTCCTGTCTGCTCCCTCCCAAGCCCAGCTCGAGGCTGGCAGAGTGCCAGGGCCCAGGTGTGCTGGGAGTTTGGTGGCTGGATCATCGATCTGAAGTGGGAGGGAGGGTGGTTCCGGGACCCTGGCACCTAGAATTTCCTGGAGATTGGGGGTGGGGTGGGGTCTGAGTGAGCACCCCTCTCCTTATGACACCCCCCCCTCCTCAGCTTCCTTCCTGGATCTATTGTTGTCCCTGGTACCTGGCTCCAGTCCCAGCATCGGGGCAGGGAGGGCGGGAAGGAAGGCACTGAGGACTCTTGGGAGTGGGGGTAGCTGCAGGGAGGCTGGAGCTCAAGGGAGCTGAAGGTAGGAGGGTGGACCCCACCCAATGCGCGAAGAACCCAGGTGTCCGGGTCCCCAGTTTGGGAGGCTGGGGGCAGGAAATGAAACCCGGTAGAACAGAAAGTGAAACAGCCCAGGTGGGGCGGCTGGAAGAAAAGGCCCTACCACACCTGTATAGAGAGTAGAAAATAAAACGCTGAGGCCTGGGGTGGGGGGGGGCAGGCTAAAGATTCTGAGCATTGGACAAAGAACTTCACCTAGGTAACAAGCTGCCCAACCCCCACAAGCCCTTCCAAGGAGCAGGCTGAGTTGGGTGTGGGAGCTGGGCCTGCTAGTTTGGGGTATTGGGGGGACAAAGAAAGCCCTATGTGTTCTTAGGGTCCACAGGTGACCCAGCCCGCCTGGGCCCTGGCTGCGTGGGAGGGTCTTTCTCCAAGTCCTAGTTCTCCTGGCAGTGAAATAGGGGCATTGGCCCAGCTGAATTCTTTGGGTTTCTCTGAAGCCCAAAGAATTCATCTCCAGGAGTGTGAGAAGATTCTGGAATTTGGAGATGTGGGGATTGCAACTTCCTCATGTTATAGGATTAGACATTTTTAGATTCCAACACATTCTCATACATTTTAGGATGTTCAACAACCCAGATTAACAGTCGTCTAATTAATTTTGATATTTTAGGAGTCTGACAAACCAACCTAGGATTCTAATGTCTGAACACTTTATATCAGAGTTCAATTAACTCGCAGTTGCATATTTCGAAAATTTAGAATTCAAATAGTCTCGCATTTTCGACAGTCTAGAATGCCAACAACAGAGAAGCCCACACCATTCTAACTTTTAACCTTCTCAGATTCAGGCACTGAGCCCCATCTGACTCCTTCTTGCTGGGATCCCCGCCCCCATCCTGGTGATCTTGCTGTCCAAAGCTAAGAGAGGGGGTGGGTGGGGAAGCATGATTTTCACAGGCCAGCGTCAGACCTGGGGACTGGGGACACTGATTAGGAGAGAGAACAGAGTCCCCAGAGCCTCTGAAGGTTGGGGAGAGGTGCCTGCGCCCTCACACAGTCTCAGGCCTGAGGGAGGACAGAGATTGGGCTCCCAGACCTCACTTGCCCCTAGCAGCTAGCACAGGCACCCACACCCACACATGTCACCCGATCGCCATGGCCAGCCCGGCTTCAATTTCTGTTTCCACCAAACTGGAGGTCAGGGATGGGCCCGGCCGGGGAGGGGCCCCCTCATCTGCTGCCCCCACCTGCCCCTTCCTCCTCCACGGTTCTACACCTGGCCGGCCCCTCCCTTCCTCCCTGCCGGCTGCAGAAAACAACATGCAAGGACTCGAAATTTCAGGAGGCCTCTGGGGTACTCCACCCCTGCTCCGGCCTCCAGCAAACGGGTAGTGGGGTGAGGAGGTAATGGGGGCCAATGTCCTACCCCCACCCCTCAGTCTCCCAAGGCTTAGACTCCCTTCATCCCCCTCTCCGACGCCTCCCCAAGCTGGATGGGGCGGGGGGGAACCCTGCGCACTCACCTTCTGGTCCACGATGGAGCAAGCCAGTTGCTTCACATGGGCCAGCTCGGAGGCGGCGGGCAACAGCACGAACTCACGGGTCAGCCCGATCTGGATGTGGAAGGAGACCCCGGGACCCGGGGCCGGGACCTGGGGCAGCAGCGGTAGCGGCGACTGCAGCTCCAAGCTGCCGAGGGGCGCAGGAGACCCCGGCCCGGGAGAGCCCGGGAGCCCGGTGGGATGGGAGGGGGCGGCGGCCATGGGGGGAGGCCCGGGACCGGCCGCCCGGCGCCCACCCAGGATCCGGCCGGAGGAGACCGGGGAACCCGGATCACTGGATCTAAGGGGTCTCGTAAACGGGTGGTGGGAGCGCGGGATCCCGGGGATCCGAGAAGAGGAATCCGGCAGGTTGAAGGGACTGGAGGATGGCGGGACCCTAGGAAATTAGAGAAGAGAATCTAGTGGTTCAGACGCCCGGGAATCAAGGGAATCACAGAAGATCGGGGGGGGAGGGAATGGTTTGGGGGACCCAGCGATTGAGAGATTCCAAGAAAGCAAAAAAGAAAATCTAATAAGTCGGGGTCGCAGGAATCAGCAGAGCCCAGGATCCAAAGGCCCCTTGGAGAGAGAAGAAATTGAAAAAGGAGCAGGGGGACCCCAGAATTCAGTGGCTCTAAGAAGAGGATCCAATTAAGAAGAGGGGCCGAGGGACTCACCGGACCCTGGGGGTGGAGGGCAAGAGTCTCTGAGTCGGAGATCGCGACGGGCCCGGGGATGGGCAGAGGGATCCAGAGGGCCGGGGTGCTAAGGAGGGAATCTCACGGGTCTCGGAAGCTGGAGAAAAGTTCGGTCGGGGGCCCGCGGAGAAGGGGGCGTTACCGGCCGCGGTGGGGGGGTGGGGCAAGGGAGGGTCGCCCGGCTCCGGTGGCTCGTTTTCCTTCCCCAAAGTTTAACTCCGCGGCGGCGGCCCAGGAGGAAGTGTCCGGAGCGACGGCGCAGCCAGCCAATCGGTGCCGGTCTCGGTGACGTCAGCGGGGGCGGAGTTAGACGAGGGACTAGGGGCGGAAGGGGAGGGCGGGCCCAGCACTTCTGAGTTGGGGGCGGAACCACCCCCGCGTGGGTCCGGGGGCCTAGGTTGGGAGGTGCGGGGCAGCGCGGCGGGGCCGATTTCGCTTCCAAACACACTCGAGTGTGCAAGGTTAACTTTTTCGTGACCAGAGAGGGAGGAGCGAACCGCCCTCACTGCCTCTGCAGGTCGCGGGGGCCAGCCCGGCCCTGGCCCTTTAAGGAAGGGGCCCTCGCACACGGCCTGTATCTGGCGCGCACCTCAGTAAAAGGGTGGGAAACAGGGTGTCAGGTCCGGCCCGCTCTCGGGACTCGGCCTCCCTCTTCCTAGAGAGCTTCGGCTCTGCCCTTCCTCGCCCCGGCCCCGGGGAGGGGGTGTCGCAGAGCACCCTCAACCCATTCCACACGTGGGAAGGTCGAGGTCTCCAGATGGGCAGAGGTCCTGGCCTCAGCTCTGTCTCCAGGGACCTTGAGCAAGGTGCATGGAGACAGCCGAAGGGGCCGGGCCTGGGTTACCTGTGTAGGAGTCAGGCACAGGGCGGGTGGAGAACGCGTGTGGTTTCCATCCCTCGGCTCCCCACTCTACCCCAGTCAGCAGGCTTGGGGTGCCTGGAAGGGCCACACTACCAGGGCGGACAACGCACCCACACCACTGCATAGATGGAGAACCAGTTGTTCTCCCGGGGAAATGTGTCTTTCTGTGTGACTTTAGGTAGGTGACTGCCCCTCTCTGAGCCTGTTTCTCCATCTGTTAGATGGGACAGTAATAGGTCTGATTCCAGAAGGTCTTCGTGGGGATTAATGAGACTGTATAATGGTGGTTGTCGCTATAATATGCAGGGATAAAGGTGGGTACCTCAAGCACTCAGGTGGGCGGGTATGTTTAGTCATCCAGCAAGCATCAACTGACAGCCTACTGTGTGCCAAGCTTGTCATAAAACACCTCTTCCAACTCATTCTGAAGCAATTCAGACCTGATTTCTCCTCCCCAGCTAATAAGAGTGGCTACCACTTAGTTTACATGCAGGAAGCTGAACACTCAGAGGCAAAATGACTTGTCAAAGATCACCAAGCCAGTTACTACCACCCCGCCCCATTCGAGGGTGTCTTGGTCTGAGCGCCGAAGGCATCCCGGCAGACACGGGCCATCTGCCTGCCTGGGTTCCAGACCAGCAGGGCTGGCTGGGGACGAGGGCCATGAGACGAGCCCCACTTCCTGGTAAGAGGTTGTTGGGGGCAGCTGAGGTCTGTACAGTAGCGATCTGTCACCACATCCGGGGGCTGGCTGGGGCTGGGGAAGGAAGTCTGAGGCTGGAGCGAAAACCCAAACCGCCACCTGGGGAAGCTGCTCAGAGCCCAGAGGGATGAGGGGGGAGTGAGGCCACGTGAAGCCCACAGCCAGGCTCCTACAGTGTCACCAGAGGGCCAGCTACCCACCCGCACCCTTTTTCCTCAAGCTGCTAAAGTGTAGCGAGAATGCACTTTGCAGGACTTTGTCCTCAAGTGTTCGGGGGCCTGCCAGTGGCCTCCTGTTCTGGGCACTGGAGCACAGCCCATGACAACCAAGGTGGTACTGGGACTCGCCCAAGGACAGTTGGCTGGTAGGTGGTGGAGGCTTGAGCAGGACTGCCAAGGGACTGGATACAAATTTTGATGACCTGCTGGAGGCCTTGGGCAAACCGGGCCCCCCCAACGCCCACCTCCATCTCTTCCTCTGTAAAACATGCACAGCGCCCCCTCCGTTTTGAGGTGGTTGTGAGGACCCAGTACACGGCACAGGAAGAGCTCAGCACGGGGCCTGCTAAGTGCACAGTTGACGGCTGTGATTCGGCCACTTCAGAGAAGGGAAGGGACTCCTCTGAGCCCCACTCCCCCAGGCAGCTCCCAGGCCCTGGGCCCAGGAGGGCGTTTGGTGCGGGGTGTCTCTGGCCTCATGGCCCTCATCACACATCCCTGGGGAGGGAGGAGTCTGGAACCAGACTGTCACATCACACCATCTGCTTGTGCTCTGTCCGAGGCTGTTGCTGCAGCCCCTGGGGACGGAGTGCTTAGGGACAGAAAGGAGGGGCACGGGGAGATTCGGTCCTGTGCCCTTGCTTCCGTCCCTCCACCCACACCCCGCCCAAGCCCTGGGCCCCTCTCTGGCCCGCTTGTCCTACCGCAAAACCCAAACCCCTCATATCCCCCCTCTCCAAGCTCCACCCACCCAGGGAGAGCCAGTTACTCCGCCCCAAAAGTCCCCCATCCCACGACAGTCAGCGCCACCCATCTTACTCCAAAGGGTTTATTCAAACAAGTTTCACGTACAAGTCCAGGACAGAGGGGTGGGGCTTATAAACAGGAATCTGGAAGGGGGCCTGAGGGCTCAGGACAGAACCCAAAAAAAGAGTGAAATAAATAGAGAAAGAGAGTGGAGGGTCAGGAGAGGAGACAGACTATCACACAGTGATAACGACGGGGGGCG